GTCAGGCATGAAGTACATATATAATGCACTATTTATTTCCCTACGCATGAACATGTCAACAAAAATTAGAGACAACAAACTGCTGGTTGTCTTTTCTAGTGGTCGTGAATAATGTCTCCGTTTTGTCTCAGAATGAAGAAAGAATATATTGATTGATTAATTAATTGTATTTTATGGACTATCAGCACTTCCAAGCTATTTACCACCATAAAAAGGTAATATGTAGGATAATTTAAAAGTGATTGAATGTTCTTTTTCTTATCGACCAGAGGTAAAAAAAAAACAGTTAAAACCAAATGATGATAAGCGAAATTTATAATGTTCTACGATCTGCTAAATATGTAAATTGTGTATGTTAATAAAGACTTAGATACCAAGCTATTGAATATAAAGGAAGGTATATGCATCACGTAATAATACTCATATGTGTGTGTGTGCGCGCGTATGTGTGTGTGTGTGTATCTTTGATATACCACGATCGAGTCGCTAAAGTTTTAATCAGGAAACTGTACTGATGAAAGAAGTGTCGGTTTAAAAAAAAAATAAAAAAAAACATATCTGTAAAGATTGTAGCTATTCACAAATTTTAGTTTCTGTTTTCATTCATATTGTTAAAATAAACAAAAATAGAGACCCTTGGGATTTAAAAATGAAAGTTGATTTTAATATTGAGAAATTAGAGTATTATCAACATTGCGAGGAGAACTTTGTAAGGCTTTACACGCATAAATCATATTTAATCTCCTAATCGAAAACAATATACAACGTTTTACTTTGTCTATGAATCATTTCCAACTTATCTTTCTTTATGCTAAATCGTATCAATAATCCATAGGGGTAAAGAGTCAATTCAATGACGCACAGTACGTTATCTATAAGTCACGACACACTTCACTTGGTCGATTGATATTTATGATTGCTAGAAACAGCATCAAATATTAAATCTGTCTGATAGATGTATGAACATTCAGTCTGGTTTAGGTTTAGTGTTTCACGGCACAGCAACACAACTAGGTGATTGGGTACAGAAGCAGGTGGAAGTTATGTATTATAAGAGCACATGTTACAGAAATGAGTCTTTCAAAACATTGTCTTAGATACAACTTGGCTATTAACAGAAATATAAACATTTAGGAATTCTCCATATTTTCTTTCTATCAACAAACAATCCTCTTGAAACTTGGTTTAAATATTCCATCATCTTATGATAAAGGCCTGGTAACGCGTATCTGTCCTAAAATAAGTCACCTTAACATATGTATTAAATAATTTAATCACGCTCGTGTATAATTTGTATTTTTACGTTCAATGTGATTAAAATTACAAATAAAGTACGAATTTACACATGGGCACATTTTCTTTTGTGAAAATCCATTAACGAGACAAAGGTTAGCTACGTATGTAAGGGTACATCCGTAAATGACGTCACGTTATTTAGGCCGAGTTTTGACCCCCTCCCTCATTTCCTCCTCGTCACATGTAGTCACAAAAAGTCTGACACCCCCCTCAAATATGACATCACAAAGCTCTGCCGTTTCCCCTACAAGACGCCGTATTTTCTATTTCAACATTAACACGTTTCAAATCATTTTATTGTCGTTGTATTATGTATTTAGTGAGGCGCTGCACTCTGATATTGTAGGAAAAACATGTATTAAAAAGGAGGCACTGGGATTAATATTCTTCTATACCTTGGTAAATATGTAGTTATTACGGCACTATTGACTTGAAGAATTTTTTTTTTAGACATATTTCTTTCTTTTCTCAGATCGATAACTTGCTGTCTCCACCTGGTATTAACATGTCGCTTAATGAGTAGTTTAGAAATGTTCTTCTAGCGTGGCCACTACAGGGTCGATAGCAAATCTATTGGACTTTGATGTCGCCCATTATCTATTATCTGCTCTTTCAAGTCAAAAAATGATCATTATAGTATATATTTGAAGAAGTAAACAGGTTGATTAAATACCAATTACAGTGGAATGCATAGGTCACCAACTCAGTCCTGATATCAAGGGGGACACATTTCCGGTATTCGTAAAATAGCAATTATAGTTTGCTCTTTTCGAATAAACAGCCACATTAGCAGCTTTTTCCCCGTTTAGGTTTGAGTGATGTTTACTTATTGACGAAAAGGCGTTGGATCTGTGAATGTGTACACATAATCAAATTCATATTTATATTATTATTATTATTATTATTATTATTATTATTATTATTATTATTATTATTATTATTATTATTATTATTATTATTATTATTATTATTATTATTATTATTATCATCAATATTATATGCTGTGTTATTGATAATGTTAACATCGAAAAAGAATTCCATTTTATTACTGCTTGTCTGTTATATAGAGAAAAACGAAGAAAATTCTTACCTATGTATATAGAAATCCAACTGTAGAAAACTTTAGGTCCTTTATACCCATTTATACTTGTAACATTCTTTCGCTACTTTAGCAATGTTTATAATAACTGCCTTAAAGATTAGA